TCTTCAGGGCGATTTCCACCTTGGAAGGCAACAGGCTGGCGAAGCTCTTCTCCACGTTGATGACCTAGAAGGAGAGAGACAGCAGGGAAACCAGCCGGATCAGGCAGCCCCCCCTACCCCCCACCCCCCACCCATGGCTGTCCTGGCACTATGAGGGTGGGAAAGGGCCCCGGAGCCTCACGGAGGGAGGGTCCCCCACACCCGCCCGGCCTTTTCATGGGTGCAATGGAAGGAAGAGATCAGTTGGGGTCCGGGGGGGGGTGTGTCTCAAAATAAGAAAGCCAGCCAGGCGAGCCAAACCTACCCCCCAGAGATCCAGCTGGGCCTGGAAGAACTTCTCTCCCTCAAAGGCTACCTGGATGTCCAGCTGCAAGACAGGAGGAAACCGCCTCAGCCCCGAGTCCTGCCACATGACCTCTGCCTGCCCTGTCCTGCAAGAGGGGGGACGGTCGCAGCGCCCAGCAGGCCGCCTCTGAGAAGCAGCTGTGCCCTCGCCCCCCCACCCCCCTTACCCCAGTGCGGTTGGCCTGGATGGAGCTGAGGTGGGGCAGGGGGGTCCTGGCATAGAGTGTCACCACCACCTGGCTGCTGGTCTGGTGCCAGTCCTGCCGACAAGAGACCAGCTTCTTGTCCTCCTGTGTGGCACAGAAAACCAGCCAGTCAGCATTGCTGCCCCCTCTTGTGCAGGAAGCCCCGATTCAGAGGACGGGGGCCTTCCGGACTGCAGCCCCCTTGCAGGACCCCCAGCAGGCAGAAAGCCTCCGCGGGGACCCCAAATGGGGCAGGGGGAGCATCAGCCCATTTCCCCCCTTCTGGGCTGTCCAAGGGCCCCCCCGTTCCTCTGTGTCTAAGAGAGGCCGCCTCCTGCTCTGCTCCAGGGAGACCCCGTTGCTAGAAGGTGGTGCCAAGGGAGGGAGAGCAGCGGATGCTGGAGGAGGCTCCCCGGTGAGAAAGCGGAGGCTGCTTTTCTGGGATCCAAAAGAGCTTTGCTGGCAAGAAGTCCCGTCCCCCCCCCCCCCCCACCCCACAGAGACATTAAAGCCCATACTTTGCAGGTCTGCCAAACCTACTTGGCAGCAAGGCTGGTCCCACCCCTTGCTGTCCGGGCAGAGTTGGCCTCCCGCTTCCCTCTGGCTGCAGACCGGGCCACAGACAGGGCTGGGGCTGGGCACAAGACCCTCACCTGCCTGGGCACCCAGGTGTGCTTCCCTCTGCTGCAGCCCTTCTGCTCCAGGAATGCGGCAAAATCCGTGGTTTTGATGCCGCAGCAGCTCCAGTATTTCATGCTGAATGGATCCCGGCCGGAGTGGGGAGAGAAGCAGAGAGCTGGGCCAGATACTTATTTGAGTAGTTAGGGGAGGGATTCCTATTCCCGCTCCCCCTGCAGTTCCAGATGGCTCACAATAGGCGGGAGAAGCCTCCCTTCGACAGACAACAGTGATTAAGACGACAAGGACTGCAGGCAGCCTCTTCTGCCCCCTGGGAGTCGCAGGCAGCTGGGGAGGGGGGAGCACAGCTGGAGGAGCCTGGCTTGTGTGAATCAGCCGTGGAGATGGGCCAACATGGAGGGGCTGGAGGGGGTGTGTGGAAGAGGCTGGGTCCCATGGCAGACAATCCCCACCCCCACCCCCCGTGGCCATCACAGCTGAAGTCGGGGACTTTGGGGAGGAAGGGCATCCTAGAGGCCTGTGATGCTCACCCCTCATGGAAGACGGGCACCCCTGGGTGGAACAGGCAGGTTTCCGTCTTGCTCTCCTCCTGCTGGAAAGTCTGCAAGAGGAGCCGGGCAGGAGAAAGGAAGGACCGTTCAAGTGGTCAGGAAGAGGCCGCCCTGCAGCTGCCAGCCCCCCCCCCCCGGCTCTTTTAGCCCAGCACTCCCCAACTTCTCTCTCCTGCAGCCAAGGCTACGCCCAAAGGGGAGGTTAGAAGCCAAGGAGCCCAATGGCAACTCACCGCGTGGCAGCCGGCATTTTTGCAGGCCGTGCCGGTGCTTATCTCTGAGCGGCCCCCTGCGAGGCAACCAGAAAAGAGCAATTGGGGCCTTGCAAGTCTGCTGGAGCGCAGAACTGCAGCTGCCCCCAGGATCAACCACTCCTGCTTGCGAGGGACCCTGCCCTGCCCCACAGCCTCTACCGACTGGCCGGAGGCTCGGGACCTTCCCAAGGCCGGTTTGGAGGGCTGCAGCTTCCAGCGGTTTCCCCTGGTTCCCCACACAGTTTCCCAGAGCCGCACAGAGGCACAGTGGGGCCACCTGGGGCACTTGTACTCCCCAGTCAGTGGGAAGAGAGTGGCCACGTAGCAGCTCAGCTGCCGGCCCCCACACTGGCTTCGTCTTTCCCCCAGCAAGCCCCATAGGGTTTCCCACCGGGGCTGGCCAAGCCGTGCGGGGCAGGCTGCGTGGCCGTGGATGTGTCCAGCTTCTCCAGGACTTGCTGCAGTGCCGGGGCCACCTTCACCAGCAATGGCTGCTTGGGCTCGTCAGAACTGGAGGCCAAAGAGAGGGCAGAATGTGGGCACGGAGGAGCCAGTTTATGTTAAGTTAGGCAAAAGGGGTGTAACTCCTTCTGCCATGCCTGCCACGTGGACCAGTTCCTACAGCGCATGATTCACAGGTGGGAAGGGAAGCAGATAAATGGAGCCTCCTCGTGCAGAGGAAATATACCTGTGAAAGGGAGGTCTTGGCTGCTTCCTAACCCCAGCCCAAAGCTGTTGGCCCCGTCAGGCTTCTGACCTTGATAAGAACCTCCTCACCTGGGCCTCTCCCGCTGCAGCACCTCAGCGGACTTGGGCTCCGGAACGAGGTCTGCAGTGCATGGCTTGGCCTTGGGCGGGGCTTCCTCCGGCTCCGGGGGCTTCTCGTGGCTGTGGTAGCCTTTTGTGCAGCCCTTTGGAGGGAGACGGTTCTTCGTTATTTCAAGGGCCTGCCAAGCCTGCCAGCCTTACAAAACGCGCCTTTGGAGGATGCAGTTTGCAACGGAGACACTGAACTGTGGAGGCTGGAGTTTGGATGGCAACGGGCCCCCCCTGTCATGCCCTGCTGTCACCCTCCCCCCGCCCCTCACTCCACCTTTCCCAGATGGGGAAGGTTGTGATGTTAGGCAAAAGGCCAGAACGGCTGAGAAAGGCAACTGTGGCTGTGCAGCCAAAGCTACGAGGATGGCAGCCCTCGTCCGTCTGACAGGATGGGCACCCGGCACCCCCCAGCACCTAAGCCCCAGCTACCTTTATGGAGAGGAATTCAGAGAAGTCGGTCGTCCGTTTCTTGCAGCAAGACCAGCCCTAGAAGAAGAGCGAGTAAGTGGCCCCTCCCCACTTGCTGACAGCGCCATCCGCAGAGGTGTTGCCGTCCTCCTATCTGCACACTGCCTTCCTGCCTTGGGGGTGGGGGGGGGAGGGCAGGAGCAACAGGGGCAGAACGGGTGCCTTGACATGGAGGGAGGGGGGGCAGAGCAGTAGATCCTCCACTCAATGGGGAGGTCAACCTGAACAATGGCCCTCGTCCTTCTGGAGCCTCCCTGCCCCACTGCGGCAGGGAAACCCGGTTGAGCCCCCACCTGCCCTGTGCAGTTGGACCCCTCACCTTCAAGGCATCATGGAAGATGGGGAAGCCTGGGTGGTGGAGGCAGGCATCTGAGGGAGGGAGGGAGGTTGGTTTTCTTCCAGCAAGCGGCTCCATTTGCCCCCCCCTCCCCCCGCCCCCCCCTTCCATCTTGTCCGTTCCCAGATTCTTCTTGGGCGGGAAGACCTACAGCTTCTCTGGCTCTCCTCTTTTCCAAGACTGGCGCTCCTGATCAATTCCCGGCTCAAAGGCAGGTGGGGGGCGGGGGGGGGACCCCACTCCCAGTTGTGGGCCTGCAGCCCCTTCCCCTTCTAGAGCTCTCCCCCGCCAGGGGATTTGCTCCCTCCCCCCCCCGAACATCAGCACCCGGGGGGCTGCCTGGCAGGCAGGCGTCAGGGAGCCCTCCGCATGTGTGCCCCCTCCCCCCCTGCACCCCAGCAGGCAAGGCCCTCCCCGGGCCGGCCACCCTCCCTGCCCCGTACCCTGGCTGTTCCTCTCCGGGTCAAAGCTCTGCCCGCAGCCTTTCCGGTAGCACAGCAAGGCCATCGCGGAGTCTGGGCGGGAGTCTTTCCAGGAGGGACCAGGCGGCTCAGCTATCTTTAGGAGCGGGGGCCGCGAAGGGGGCCTCAGGCAGCCCAGAAAAGGGCAGCAGCTGCTCCACCACTCACCATCACCAGAGGGAGGGGCAGGCGGGGGGGGGGCTCCCCTCTGCTCTCTGCCTGGGTAGGGCTGCCTCCAGCTGTCGCTCCTGCTCAGATGTGGAGCTACTTGTTCCCCCTGGCCTGGTGCAGCCCCCCCCCCCCCCCCCCCGACAAACAGGAAGAGAAGCAGCAAACCGGCAGACTCCTTATTCCTCATTCTGGGCAGCCAGGAATCCCCTGCCAGTCCATTGTCCAAGGAGGGGAGGGCTGAGCCTGCCTCTTCCTCCAGGTCTTGACTGCAGCGCAACTCCCGCCCCTCCCCTCCAGCTCCCCCAGTTTATACGGGGCTGCAAGGCTGTTCCCCCAGAAAGCGAGTGACTCTTGGCTCACGCTGGTCCAGGTGTTAGAACAGCAACTCCCAGAGTTCCCAGCTGCCCTCGGGCAAAGGTACCCTGGGAATCTGGAGGTGCACATCCCCACCTTCCCAGCAGCAGCAGCAGCAGCAGCAGCAGGAGGAAGAGGCTGGGGGTCCCGGGACTGAGACCCTCCTCGGAAGGAGGAACAGCCTGTGGCCACTTCCCACCCAGTAATCAGAACCCCAGGAGACACCGGAGATGGACACAAGGTGAAAAAGTCTTAAAATCGCTTTTAATAATAATGCATTCCTGTAACAATCTTGAGACAAACTCAACCTGTTAGTGGACGATTACAGCTCAGGTTCACACATTTACTTCTACACAAGACGGGTAAAGTTAGGGTTATACAAACAATTGCTTCAGCTGAGGGTTTTTTTTTTTTTTAACAGGAAACTCTTTTGTGTTTTACTATGTCCAATAGATTGTACTTTTCTACCAATAAAAAAGAAAGAATGGTACAACACTGAATAATTCATCCCAGCACCATCACCACTATTGAGCCCTCTTGGCTGCCCCAGAAGACTACAGGAAAGGAAAAAAATGGTCCAGAGGAAAAAATAAAAAGCTACAAGTTTAAAAAAACTATTCCCTCCCCCCCACCCCACATGATCTGCCGTTTGTGGAGGAGCCACGTACAGGACCGCAGGCCTTGCCCCAGTGCTCGGAAGGGCCTTTTCGAGGCCTGGGGCAGAGCTGGTGGCCTCCGGGGACAGCCTGTGGCAAGGGGCTTGGGGGTGGGAAGGGAGGAAGAGGGCCAGGGGTCCCAGCTCGGCCCATAAACTACACAGCTACCAAAGCCTCCTGGGATCCAGGTTCACATTGCGTGCTTGCAGGAATGCAACCCTCCTGGTGTCAGCTGCACCGTTTAGGAACGGGACCAGAGGCCTCTTGCCTTGGCCAAACTCCTGGGGCTCAAGAAGGAGCTAGGGGTCTTCTTGAGAGGAGAGCCAGGCCCTGGACCCTCTCCTCTTAATACCGGCGACGCTTGTTAGGGCCAAAATCTCCCCCAGGAGCCCCCCGGTTGAATCCCGGTGTGCTTCCTCCCATGGTGCCCAGGCCTTCCATGGCCCCGCTCTGTCCAAAGCGATCGGGTGGTGGTGGAGGGGTCTTGTGCAGAGAGAAAGGAAAGATCTTGGTCAGAAACAACCGGAGGCCCAGAGATCCAAGGCGGTTGGGGGTGGGGGGGGGTTCTTTCCTGCTTTATGAAGACCCACAAGGGGGCCTCAAGCCGGTCTAAGACAAAGCTTCCCAGGGGAAGCCCTGTCCTCAAAGGACCTGCCTAAAACAGGAAACCCAGCTGGGACCCTAAAACCCACCCCACCCCTAAGAGTAGCAGCTCCTGAAAGAGATTCAACATCCTCCAAGCTCGGAGGTTTATGCCGCCAGCCCCTCTCAAGTTTGTCAGAACAAAAGGCCCTACGGGGATCCCAAAGGCAGCTAATGCCCTTAAGAAAGGGAAGCGATCGAAGGGACCTTGCTCTGAAAGTTGCAGCAGCTAGACAACCCCCCCCTTCCCGCCCCCAGCAGCTAAGAAAAGCGGACTTGAATAGAACTCATAATTCTGTCCCCTCTCAGCTCTGCAGCCCCCCCGCCCCGCCCCGCCCCCCCCCGCAGACGAGAGCTCAGTTAACCTCACCATTCCCATGGCTCCGTCAGGGATCATTGGTCCAGGGCCAGTCGCAGGCGGGGGTCCTGCAGGGACACTGGTGCCCCCCATGGCCCCCCTGTTGTTCATTCCTATTGCACCTGAAAGGCAAAGCAGGGACCCCTCCTGAGACCCAGCTCAGCACCCTCCCCCTCCAGAATCCACCATAGCAGCCCCCTAGTTGTCTCCCCAAGCCCGGCCCCATTGCCCGCATCTCCAGCTCAGCTACAGGCAGAGACCCCGACCGGCAGCTGGTGCCCAGAACCAGAGGAACAGCCTCTCTCGACCGTACGTGTGCGTGTGCATGCGCGCGTGCCTGGGCACCCCGGCCACTTACCTCCCATTCCCATCTGCCCCATTCGCATATCGGGAGGTTCTCTCTGAAACAGACGGACAAGCCCAAGGTGACTGGCTGCCCCCAAAGTCTCCCTCCCTCCCTCCCTCCCGCTCCTGCCCGTCAGCCTCCCTTACCGCGTCGGGGAAGGCGCCCTTGAACCCCTCCTGCTGCCGCCTCATCATCTCCTCCTGTTGCCGCCTCATCTCCTCCTCCCGGCGCCGGCGCTCCTCTTCTTGCCTGCCAGAGAAGCCCGGAGTGGTCTCCCAGCTTCAGCAGCCGCCCTGAGGATTGGGCCCCTCGGCCGCGTCTCAGCTCTGCAGGCTGCATCCACTAAGCCCCCCCGCCACAAAGGACCATGCCGAGAGGGGGGGGGGCATCAATTCACCAAGAGACCAGTTAGCTGGGAGGCTGGAGCCAGGGGCTCCGCGGGAAGCTTCCCGGGCCAGAGAATGAATGTGGTTTTCCAGCTCTCTTTAGGAATCCGTCTTCAACCTTCTCGCTGTACCTGAGCGGCCTCTGTCAATTCGCTGCTCACCTGAGTTCCAGCTGTTTGCGCTTCTGCACCTCCTGGTTGTGCAGCTCTTCCATGCGCCTGAGCTCCTCCTGGCGCCTCATCAAATCTGGAAGGAGGAGGAGGAGGAGGGGTTTGGAACCCAGGCGGGGCTGCCAGGAGCGACCCCCAGAGCCCGTATCAAGAAGTTCCATCACCCACCTTGACGCATGAGCATGACCTGGTGCTCGTGACGAGCCGCCTCCATCTCCATCTCCAGCTTCTCCCGGGCCTCCTTGATGTTGCGGTCCACTTGCTCTTGCTGCTGCTTCTCCATTTCGATTAAGGCCTTCCAGCGCATGGCATACTCGTACTCGAAGGAGCCGGGCTGTGCAAAGCGGGGAGGCTGCTCACGCTCCCTGCGGGGACAGGAGGCCGAGGGCCGTTCGTTCAGGAGCTGCAAGCCCCGAGCGGAAGGCAATGGGCTGGGAACACTGAGAGGAAGGATCTAGCAGAAGCCTTCTCAGCCGGCAGAGCCGGCAGCTCCACAGCATCCAACCTCCTGATATCATCAACTAAAGGCACCCGAACGGCAGTATGGACAATCGTTCAATGTCCACACTTGCTTTGACAAACCTAAGCGTAACCCAAAGGATCTCCCTGCGTGAGTGCATGCCGGGCATTAAGGACACCTGCTTCCATCACCAAGGTGCCGCTTGGTCTCTCCCCAGCACCTACTTGTGGTATTGCTGGTTTTTGATGACCAGTTTTTCCGGCAGTCCTTCCTCATCATCATACTGGTCCATGGGCTCCACTGTCACAGGCCGAGGGAACCTTGAGGAGCAATTTGAAAACAGGCCGACCTCAGGGGCTAAAGCTAGAAAGTTAGCAACAACCTCGAGCATCAGACATTCCCTTAATTATTTCCTTTCCAGAATGAAGGGTTTTTCTTTTGACAGTTAGCAACTGGTGCTTCTTGAAGCCATCGGAGCAACCAGGAGAAAAATCAGCTATTTGGATCGAAGCCTCGAGTGACCCAGTACAGACCCTAAGATCCTGCTTTGCCAACCGTTCCCTCCAGCTGCTCAGAGGCTTATCTCAGAAGCAGCCTCTGTGGAAAGAGGAATCAGCTTCCCAGGTAGCTGATCTGAGCATACACATACACTTCTAGGCCGCAACGCCTTTCAAAAACGAGCGTCTCTAAAAGAGGAGAACGCAGTTGCTGTGTGCATATTCTCTCTGCTTTGTCAGCCCTACTCACCAGAGGCAAAGATAACTCACCAACAGGGACCACCAAAGTTGCACAATCCCCCCATTTACAACTGCGAACACAAACACAGAAGATCAGCCCTCTGGCCGCAAGCCCACCCAACTGACCCAGAGGGTCCCTGCCCCTGCTTACGTAGTCAGCAAGAAGGACCCCTCGCTGCATCTGTCCAGAGCTTTTCTGGCAGCTGGTTTTCCCGAGAACTCCACAATGCCTTTTCCGGAAGGCCGGCCTCTGTCGTCCACAATGACCACAGCCCTCTCGACTTGGCCAAACATGGAAAAGGCCTCTTCCAGGAGCTCATTGGACACGAACTGTGGCAGGTTCCTGACAGTCAGTGAGGCGCTGTGGCAAGCGAAGCGCACACGCAGCTGCTTCCCACGCAGAGGCATGTTGTCCAGCTCCACCTTTGCAATCTCAGCCAGGGTCCGCGTTTCCTGAGGGCAAGACAGACGTGCAGGCAGGCTAAATAAAAGGTGCTTCTGGAAGAACGGCATTACGGGAGTCTCAAGAGTATTTGCATTGTAGCCAACAGCTGTTAGGTGGATTAAAGTAAGGTACAAATTGAATATGTAAGATTTTGCTTTGTAAGTAACCAGATACAGAAAAAGCCCCAACATATGCCTGCTTCCCACAAGAAAGAAGACCCAAGCAGCCAGATCGCCAAGGCTATTCTCCAGCGTTTTCAGACCTTTTGTGCAGAGACAGTTGCGATAAATGACAGCAACAGAGGCGATAAATACCTTCCGGAGGGCCAACAGTCTGAAATTTGCTTGCATCAAAAATACGACACATGGGTTGCAGGCTGCTCAAAGAATAACAGTTATCCTCTTCAAACTCATTCAGCTTAGCTCTCCCCAAAGCCCCGGGACACACAAGAAGAAATGGCTCTGGTCACTCACCAGCCTGATGAAGCCAAAGCCTTTGTCCTTGTGAATGAAGACTTCGCCGGCTTTCCCATATTTTTCAAACATCTTTCTCATTTCCTCCTCGGTGATATCAGGTGGCAGGTTTCCCACAAAGAGGCGACTCCTTTGGGTGAAGGTCTTTTCCCCAGGTTTTCGGAAATTCTTCAAGTCAATCGTCAGGCCTTCATCTGAGGAGAAGGAGATATAAATTCATTCTACAAAACTGAGGAACAAATGATGACTATTAACACACTGCAGAATACCTTGGTCTGGACCTTAACAGCACCTCCAGGTTACAGCCACAGGAAAGAGCCACCCAAAACTACCCATGCCTGCCTCTCCATGCAACCAGAAAGAGAATTCCCATTGCAACCTTCATTTTATGTATTGGAAGATTATAAATGCAACAACCACAGACCACAACAACTGCAAGATCAGATCTCGAGCAGCTACGTTTATTTACAAGGGGATGCGAGTGAGAAGGCTTTCCAGCTCTCTCCTGTAGTTTGTGTCTTAATAATAAAATTGCTCAAAAACTAGCTAACCCATTCTGTGACTCGTAAGTTAATCTGAAGGGCCACCCTAGATTCACGAAAAGCTTTAAGGAATCTATATATTCTTGAAATGGAGATAAAGATTCTGATCCTAAAATGTGAGAAAAGGGGCATCCAAGAAAAGGGCCATGGGCCTATTAAGGCGGCAATATAAATTCAATAAACAAAGTCAGTCCAAGGGAAGGACGAGCCAGAGAAAGCAACTCGCAGTAGCAGCCAAGGAAGCTTGATTTCTTTTTGCAACCAGCGGCTCCTCCAGGCCGCGTTCAGGGACAGGAGCGGAGGAACCGAGTCCCAATCCGGCCTCTGGTTTCTCGTTGGGGTGGGAGGCGAGGGAAATCTAAGCCACCTTGGTCCGCAGCGGTTCGGACTCCCCGCACTGGGCCCGGCCGGCACCCCGGGCAGCGCCTGCCTCGACTGCGCAGATGCTGCCGGAGACGCTCAGCCGCCAAACGGCCATTCCCGCGGCTTCGCCGGCCTTCCGAGCCGCCTTCGGGTGCGTCCCGGGGCCGAGCGCCTTCCCTGCAAAGGGGCCGCCGGCCGGCCCATCCACGCCGGCGGGCCACTCACTCTGGCTGTTGAGCTGCTGCCCGTTGGCGGGGGCGGCCTGCTGCTGCTGCGGGGGCTGCTGCGGCGGCGGCTGGTGGTGCTGCTGCGGCGGCGGCGGCTTCCGCGAAGTGTGATTCTGCTTCTCCATGGCGAAGCCCTTGTTGCCCTGCATGCTTGGCCGGGGCGGAGGGCCGGCTCCCTGCGGGCGACAAGCCGAGAGAGAGAACGCGGGCGCCGTTCAGGGAGGGATGCTTGCCCCGCAACCCCCCCCCCCCCGCCACCCGGGACCGCCGCTACCCCCCCCGGCGCTTCCGGGGGACTACAATTCCCAGCGCGCCCCGCGATCGCGGCCGGCGGAGCCGCCGTCCCCACGCTCCCCGGGGAGCCTCCGGGCCCCGCCGCGCTCCCCAGAAGCCGGCCGAACGGAGCGAAGCAGAGCCGGGCTCGGAGCCTCGAGCTCCCCCTCCGCCAGAAGAGGCGCTTCGCGACCCCCGCCCGGCCCCGTCGCCCCCGCCGCCCGGCCTTCCGCGGCCTCCTCACCTCAGGCGAGCCGACGAGAAGGCGGGGGGGGGGGAGGAAAAGGAAGAAGGAAAAAATGGGGGCGCGCGAGGCCGGAAACCGTTCTCTGATGCGTGCTGGCCCTGTCCCGCCCTCTCGCGTATTGGGGGGCCTAATTGGCTGACTGGCCGCTCCAATTCTTCCGCTAAATGGCCGCCATGCTTGCCGATCTAAAGGCGAAGGCAAACCGAGCGGGCGGCGAGGCTTCCGATTGGTCAGGCGCTCTGCTCCCCCAGCCCGCGCAAAGCTTAGCCAATCGGCATTCGAGGCGCTTTTCAGTCATGTTTGAGTGAGTGGTGAAAAAGGGACAAAGGGGCAGGAAAAGGGAGGGGGCGAAGAGCGAGTGACGTGAGGCTCCGCGAGGTCCGCGCAGGCGCACAAGGAAGCGTACCGCTTCTTAAAGGGACCGCGGGCGGAGTCGAAAGCATAGCGGTCAGCCGGCAGGGGCGCTAGGGTAAGGCCGCTTTCCAGGGCCAGTTAGAGCGCGGGTGGATCGGAATTAATCCTTATTCAAGTACACCACATGCAAACCTCGCAGAACGTTGCTCCCGATCCAGCTGGTATCCAATGTCGAGGGGGGGGGCAAACCACCCTTTTCCAGTAAAGGTCCTAGCTAAGATTTCCAGGCACATTGCAGCATAATGTGCGGAATTGCTGGGCTGGGCAATAACCCTGCACGGTTATAGAACAAAATGAAGCAATATCTCAACTTCTTCACCCTTACAGACCCCCATAGAGAGCCACCCTTGCCACAGCTCTGCAGCTCCCACAACCCTGGAACTGTCCACCCTGAGCTACATTGCATGCGTGGCTGCCAGACCAGATGCTGTGCTTCTCCCTTCTGGCTGCCTGGCCTCCCTGGGAAAGCAGCAGGAAATGCCATGTGCCTGGAGGCTGTTGCAGCAGGAGGCTGGCAGAGAGGAAGCTCAGAAGGGGTGGGGGTGGGGAAGAGGCAGCAATTGAGCACTCCGCGGTTGATCACCCTTGGATCTCAGAAACGCCATTCCTAGCCTGTGCACCGAGATTGGTGGAGGGAGGCTGGAGGACTGCTGAGACATGTTTTGGGGTGGAGCTGCTCCCGGTGCAAGATGGGCACACACAAGAGGGGGCAGGCAGGCATTGTCCAGCTCCTCAGCCAGCTCAGCTTTTCAGGCAGCAAAGCCAGGGCTTCCCGCTCCGCCCACTGAGGCCCCAGACCATGATTCCCTCTGGAGGTGCTGCTGAGCCCTCTTGGAGAGCCAGCCAGGGCGAATGGGGGAGGGGCCAGCAGTGCAGAGAGTAGGATTCTGCTGAGGTCCGGCAAGGGGGCTGGGCCAGGTGTCATCCCCCGCCCTCTTGGCAACCAGGGAAAAGCCTCTGAGGTATCCCCCAGGTTGATTCCAAGGAAGCCCCTTCAATGGCCGCCTCTCCCCAGGGACCAGCTTGCGCATGTCCCTGGGCGTCGCAGAGAACTTTGCCTGGCTGGGTCTGCCAGGTCTCTGCATGTTGGCCTGGGGAAGAAGTGGCCCTTTCTGATGTTGGCCCCAGCCAGGGTCAAGCTGTAGGGAGCTGAAAGTGGCCTGCCATGCTATCTTTTCAGAGAAAAATGCAGGTTGGGAAACACAGTTGCAGTCCCTGTGAGGAGTGACCAAGAGATGACAAGCCTCCATCATTACCGCCCAACTAAGATTGGCACTAATCAAAATAATTTTGCTTCCCTTTCAAGCAACTCAAAGGCAGGTAGATGTGTGCACCCTCTGCGATTGAGGGGTATTGGAGAACAGTGGCTGCTTCCTACAGCACACAGTGCCTGACTGTCGACTGAATCCATATTTATAATATGCTGGATTCACACAAGCCGAAGTAAAAAAAAAAAGCAACTTGGATAAAATTAACTGATAAAGATAAAAAAGCAGCAAAGATAAAATTAAGCAGGAGGCTTGTGGTTGACCTGGTTGGCCATGCCGTGTGAACACGCCCAAGAGTGCCTGGGAGCAATTCCTTGGGCGCTCTCTTTCGCAAGGGAGCCCATGGACACTGCCTGATGTCACAGAACACGGAATGCTTCATTGGTTCCCGCAGAGGCTTGAGGATAAAGGCTTGCCCGCTGGGAGCCTCCTTCAAGAAGCCGTGTGGAGCCCCCAGTGGTGGCAACAGGCCCAGAGTGGTGGCCACACTTGATAAGTTTAAAAATAAATCCTCTTTGGAAGCTTGAGGAATATTGGACTGGATCTGGAAGTGCCAGGGCAAAGCACGAGGGGGACGTTCCCAGCCCCCCAGAACCCTTTCCAACCGAAAGCCCCCCCCCCCCGCCAGGCTGGCATCCTTGGCCTATCCAGCCCCCCCCTGCAGCTCCCCCCCCCCGTGGGGAGGCCCTTCTTGGAAACGGGGCCAAGGGGTCCCTGCCCCCAGGGAGAGTTTATGCCGAGGGCTACTCCCCTTGTTGCCCCTTGCCTCCTAGGGGGAGTTTCAGTGCCACTGGGGTTGGCATGTGCCAGGTCCAGGGGGTCCCGAGCAAGGGCCTCCCTGCCAGCCCCGAAGGGGAAGAGGGGCCTCTGGCCCCAGGCCGAACGGGTCGGCTCTCCCTTCGCCCTCCCTTTGGGGCAATTGCGGAAGTGGGGAGGGGGCCTGGGGGGGCAGGGCAGGTTCTGCGAGGGGGGGCTGCCGCTTGGCGGGGGCGCCTCGCCTTCCGGAGGGCGGAGGGGGCGGCGCGAGGAGGGGGCGGGGGTCTCCAGGCGCCCCTCGTCCGTCCCGGGGGCGGTCCCCGCTGGCCCGCGACCGCCCCACCCTGGCCGCGCACTCCTCACTGCCTCGCCGCCCCGCCGCGAACGCCGAGGGAGCCCCTGGCCGGAGGGAGGAGGTGAGGGCGCCGCCTGCAGGGGGGGTGCGGGTGGGCCTGGACGCAGCGCCGGCTCTCCCCGCGCCCCCCCCCCCGGATTTGGGGGAAGTTCTGAAGGGGGCCGCAGGAACGGCGGGAGGACGGAGCCCCTCCTCGACCCCCTTCAGCCCCCCCCCCACTCGCCTTTCCCCCGACTCCGCCCCGCGTTCTGCCGCTCCGGGTTTTCCGCCTTGCCCGCTCGATCCGAACGAGTGGGGAGTTCCGCGCCGGGTTTTGATACCCGCCAACCTGCTGCGGCCAGTCTCGCGAGCTTCGGTGAGAGTGCAGCCAATCGGCACGCAGGGCCCGGGAGCCGGCAGCCAATCGGGGCGCAGCGCTGGCTGGGTCCCGACCAATGGGTGGCCTCCCCGACCTCCCCCTCGCTCGGGCTGCGGCGCGCGGAGAGCTCCGAGCGCGCCTCCATTTAAAGGGGCCGCCGCCTCCGCACGCTCCTCGGGGGCTCCGGCAGCGCCTGTGGCGGGGACGGGCGCGGCGGGGCGAACGCTGTGGCGGAGTCGGGGAGCGGCAGGTAAGGGCGGCCGCCGCGCGGGGCGGGGGCGATGACCTCGTGAGGGGAGGGGGTGGGGCGCGGGAGGGGCGGGGCCAAGGCCCGGGGGGAGGGGCCCTGCAGGTACGGGCGGGAGGGGGAGGGGCCCTGCCCTGCCCCCCCCCTCCCCGGGCCGGCGGCGCTGCGGGGCGGGACTAGCCGGAACTGCAGGGGCGCCGGGGGGGCCTGCTTGGACGGGGTGGCGGCTCCGGCCGGCCTACCCTGCAGGGGGGTCCGCGACGGCGAGGCGGATCTGCTGAGGGTCCCGCCCGCCGCCAGGGAGGAGCGGCGCATCCCGCAGGCCCGCCAGGACTCCGGCGAGGCTGAGCCGCGGAGCGATCGGGCGGGCATGGCGGCGGGCCGGAGCGGCGGGATCTCCCGCAGGTGCTTCCCCGGGAGGTCTGGCGTTCCCCACGCGGCTTCTTTGACCAGCCCGGATTCGGCAGCCCGTGACTTGGCACAACGGAGGTCGGCGGGGGCCGCGCTCCGCCTCCCCAAAGCGGGATCCCTCCGGGGGTCGCTCTTGGAGAAGCCTGCGGAGGGGGCCTTCAAGCGGAGCCTTCAGGCTGGCCGGGCTCGGAGGGGAAACGGGGCTGCGGCGGGAAGATTTGGGGCCCCTGGGGGCGGGGAGGCCGGGCCCTGGCAGGAGGCCCGCCGGGGGGGGGCGGGGGTCCCGAGCTGGGCTGCAGGGGGGCTGCTGGGCTTTGGGGCTCCCTCCCCTCCTGAATGGAGGAAGGCTCGGCGATCTGAACTGAGGAGACCCGCACAGGGGGGAGGGGTGCGGGCCGGTGTGCTCGATAGAAAAAGTGTGGCTGCCTGTCAAAACTGGGCAGCGGACAAGAAAACATCCTGTCTTCTGCAGGCGGGTCTTTGCAAGCAGGAAGACCCCAAAGGGTGGGAGGCAGCCTGTCCTCGGAGGGGGCTGTTGCTGGACCTCTTGATCTCTCCTGGAGAAGCGGAAGCTGCAGCATCCAACTCTCAGTCCACATGCCGCAGGCCGTTTCTGTTGGGAGAAGGCGTTAAAAGGAACCCCCGGGGCCTTGCCTTGAGACGGAAGCCTCGACAACCAGCCGAGCTCCCTTAAAATAGAGGTGGAGCTGCCTGGGGCAGTCAATGAATGAGCAGCTGCCGCTTCCAAGTTACCTTCCAGGGCAGCCCCACATAAAGCAGGTTGCAATAGCCTAAGACAGAGAAAGGCAAGAGTACCAACCTCTCCAAACCAAGGAGTCCTCAGCACCACCTGGTCAAGGGAAGGTGTAACTAACTGGTGGGCCAGCTGCACTTGGGCAAAGGCCATCCTGCCCACAGCCTCTCTCTGCTCTTCTCCTTGGAACCGCAAGTCCAGGAGAACTCTCCAGATTGTACACCTGCCCCTTCGGGAGAAACGAGCCTCCACGGAAGATCAGAGACTGACAGTAATGCCATATTGCCGAGATTCCATCTGCCCCTTTCAGACCCTCGTAAAAATCCCACGACGTCTCCTATTTCACCCGGGTAGAGATGAAAACGTGAAGCTGGGTAGGATCAGCATATTGATGGTGCCTGACCCCAAGGCCACCCGTGACATCTCTGAATGGTGGTGGACCCCACAGTTGGGTTGCCCGTGGGCAAACTCTCTTCCCTAACAAGCTCAATTGGAACTGCCCGCTTAGGAGGGGGCAGAAGCACCGCAAACCAATTTTTCCCACTCCAGGCTAGGGTGGGTGCTGTGGAAGGCTAAGGACAACCCACCGCAC